GCGTGAGGGTGGATGCATGTAAATGTATGTGTGCGTGCATAAAAGAAGTGCAGAATGATAAGAATATCAGCTTGGAGGGTTCAGGGTATCTCCTAGTCGAGCAGTCTCGACTAGAGTCTTCTTACTTGTTCTTATTTATATGTATTATGTGTGCTTTTCTAAAGAGATTTCCATAAAAAACAACGACACGATTGGTAAAAAATGAAACACGAAACATGAGAGATGATGTCGAAGTGTCACTTCAAATAGTATATATAAGGAGTTATGAAATCAAGTTTAAAACCAAAGATTGTCAAGAGCATGAAAATTGATAGATAAAAATTTTTAATAGGTGCTAAAAATGCATGAAAATCGACAAATTGACTTAGTAGCAATGTCTGAGCTTCAATTGGAGCTCTACAAGTAATTCGTATTTAATACATTCTATTGATACTTTATTTTAACAGGGTTACACATCTTTCTGGAATGATTGCATATCAAGCGGCTTGCGTGGTTGTATTCTCATTGAGCTGGGCCTGCGTGGACGTGTTATGATCGAGAAATCGGGCATGCGGCGTCGTGGCTTGTGTACAAGGTATCAACATACATAAATCTGATCAGATCCATCATGATCGGCACTAATATGTGATTTGTGATTGTGTGCAGAAAGCTAATACTGAAATCGGATCAGCAAACTGGCGATGTTTTGTTGGATGAGGCACTGAAACACATTAAGGAAACAGATCCACCAGAGACGGTGCAAAGTTGGATCGAATATCTGAGCGGTAAGTGTTTCACTTGGAACGGGGTAAAACAAATTGAATGCTTAAATTTCAATTGCTGCAGGTGAAACTTGGAATCCACTGAAATTGCGGTACCAGCTGAAAAATGTTCGCGAGCGTCTGGCCAAGAACCTCGTCGAAAAGGGTGTGCTCACAACGGAAAAGCAAAACTTTCTGCTCTTTGACATGACGACTCATCCGCTCAGTGATAATGTGGTTAAGTGCCGTCTGGTCAAGAAGGTAAGTGAAGCCACATGCTAAATAGTTTTGTGCATTTCCGAAATAATCTTCAAATTCGTATTACAGATACAAGACGCGGTACTTTCCAAGTGGGTGAACGATGCGCAACGCATGGATAAGCGAATGCTGGCACTTATCTTCCTGGCGCACGCCAGTGACGTCATCGAGAATGCATTTGCGCCGCTCAACGACGATGACTACGAGGTGGCCATGAAACGTGTGCGCGAACTGCTCGACCTCGACTTTGAAGCGGAGGCGGCCAAACCGAATGCAAACGAAATACTTTGGGCTGTGTTTATGGCGTTTACGAAATAGAGCGATTTCCTAACTCCAGAACCCCTCCCGCAACCTGGCACCACAGCAGTCAGCAGCAACACACACACATACACACAGAGTCACACACATATATACACGCTCACACACAAACACACGCACACTTACACCAACACTCCCAAGATTTTCATATTCGGCTGCTTGTTTTCCCACTGAATCGGGTGATTCCAAATGCGCCCGTACTTCGGATTTCCTTCAGTTAATTTAAAATACAAAAATCGTGCGAGAGACAGTACGCTGGGTTATAGAAACAGATATGTATATATATTATTTTCTATATTCCGCCCTCAAAATATCCGATGAAAAATTATTCGTTTTATTTCGTTTATTTTTTGATTATTATTTCATTTCGCAATTTAATTTATATGAACGAATTGCTAGCTATTAGTTGAATTTTACTAACAATTATATGCCGTATTATTCCATAAATTGTGTTCTATGTAATTTGAAACATTTTCGGCATGCGAATAAACGATATATCAAAATTTCATCAGAGGAGGAGTCGTCATCGCTTAAACATAATACAAATAATTAAGTTGTAAACTGCAAGTTTAAATGATATATTCAATATTTTGAGCTGCGACCGGTTTTTTTATGTAATTATATAAACTTAACGTTAATTGTAAGAACTAACTCTGATGCAAACGCATTAGCATGTTTAGAAATCTGTCATCTGTGTGCCCTGAAAGTTTGCCTATGCTAGGATTCAATTTAAATTTAAATAAATTCTCTACTTGTAATTTGGAATCAATTTAAAGAGAAAAATTCACAGAGTGACGGACCGTGTGAGGGATTGCATCTTAGGCAATGTTTATTTAATTGTTATGAATTTCGGGAACATTGAAATCGAAAACTTTTCTAAACATACAAAACGAAAGAAAAAACAATCTAAAATTTATGTAAATGTAAAATGTGCACGTCAAATAATAATAAATCTAGATATTTAAAGGCCTAATAAATATAATACAATATAAATATATATACATATTTAAAAATCGTTTAACTACTTCTCTTTCAAATTTGTTAGGAAAAACTTTTATTTTCAGCATGCCAAATTTATCTTCATTTTAATTGAAATATTTTATTACAAACATTCGAATCCTACTGCTGAGAGCTTGGTAGGAAAATGGATTGTTAGATAGTCAAAATAGAATTTTTTCAGATCTCTGTTTATGAATTTACGAGGTATATCATTTTTCCAGCTCTGATGCAATTTTCGTATATATTTGATTGAGTGTCCACGGGAATTGTTTTGTTATTTTAACTTATTCTATAATCTATAAATTTATTCTCATGTTTATTAAAATTGAGTAAATTATTTAAGTCTAATGAAAACGATATTTTTTAAATATTTTTTAATAAACTTTTTATTTCCTTTTTTGCACAAAGATTTTGAGGGTTGTAAGGGAGAGGGGTCGCATATACCGATTAAATATTAAAATAATTCTCACAAGAAATTTAATAGGTATTCATAGATATTAATAATCATTTGAATTACGATACAACAAATACATTACGTGTGGATAACGAAATATTGCATGAGCTAACATAGTTTTTGTTTTCCAATTTATCTTGTTTTCTGGAAACTATGTAATTTCTCCATATAACTCAAAAATCGATGTGTAAACAATAATCATTGTATCAGGCTTAATTCACTGTTTAGCTTTAAACTAGGGAAATTTCTCGTGTAACTGTGGTGCTGACATTTTTAATTTTATTAAAAATATCCACGTAATTTGAACGGACAATTTAGAGAATGAAAAAATAAACACGAAAATAATTTGTCTAATTGCAGTTGCTCGTTTAACAAATGTTTATAGCGCAGAAATTCACATACAAACACACACCCACACACAGATAAGCATATGGAATACTTAAGATTGACAACAGAGAAGTATAGAGAACATGCAAAATGTGGAAAGTTTAATAAAAATAATGGAAGATTTGTAACGCTCGAAATGATGTCGCGGCTATATGTTTATATGTATATATATATGAATATGTATGTATAATTGAATTTATGTCTGCTCTATACGCTATCAATATGCCAACGCTCTCATTTAAATCGACGACTGCTGAACGAGAGACGACGCATGCGCGCCCGATTCTGTGAGTAGCTCCTGGACCAGCGCTCCTCAGTGGAATAGCAGCTGGCAGTCGGCGATTTATGTGAGTTGCCTACGTGCTAACTTAACAGGTCCTTGATCTCCTTGTGCATGTGGCACAGGAAATCCACATAACTAGCCGAGCCATCTGTGCCGCGATCCTCGATAAGGAAATGCCGAAACACGCTCTCCAGCTTGTCGTTCTGCCGCACACAGGTGACCTGGAAACAGCCAAATGGAGTCAATACATTGCTAACGGAGTTCACTTAGTTATTCTGCACAACTTACCCGCATGTATCGCGTGCGCTCTGCCATAATCTGGTCGATGATGCCAGTGATGCGACGTGCCAGCGGCGTATCGGCGGCGATTGCGAATCGCTCGGCATTCACCTGTTGCGTGCATTGCACACCGAATACGGATTGCACAAACGTGGGCGACAGGGACTGGCCCAGCCAAACAAATAGATGCACACCGTTCTCCAGTATGTATGCGCCGTCTTCGGTGATCTTCTCATGAGTGCAGCGCACCGGCGTTGGCAGCGACGACTCATCAACATCCACGTTGTGTATCGGAATGAAGCGTGGATACAAATAGTTGACTGACATATTCAGATCCATGGCCAGCACAAATTGTATAACATAGGAGCGATCATCCAGAGTCATATCAGAGCCGCCAGAGACGGCATCGTTCTTCAGCAAACAGGATGCGTACAGCGGCAATAGTTTCAGGCACTCGGGTAGTATCAATTGGCCAGCGGATGTTGGCGATGTGCAGTGCTTGCGATAGCAGGCCAAAATCTGTGCTGATCGCTGTATGAGATTGTCTTTGACCTGTTTGGGCGAGTGCTCCATTAGCTTGAAACAAGCCTGCTTTGCAAAGAACAGCATCATGGCGTCCAGGTCACAGCTCTTAAATACATCCGCAATAGTTACAGTTACGCGCAGAGCTAAATTCAATATGCGCAAACGTCGCTGCCCACTGCACGATGTATACAGCAGAGCCACCTGTAAGTACACATTTTCCTCCGGCGCCAACTTATCATCATGTTTGATCTCAATGCTCACCGACTTGGTGGCATCTGTAATATGTAAAACCAAAAGAATTTGTTGGAATTTGTTAAGCAACTCAGATTTATGCAATTGCTCGCCGGCTACTTACCAATGCTCGCCAGCTCCACGTCAGTGGTATTTGACATGTAGAAGTGTCCAAAGAATTCCGTAGGTCGAATACCGGCCGAGGTGCGAACACGCATCACTGCATCAAATGCGATCGGACGTGATACGTTCTTAATGATGTCTTCAATGAGACGCTTGCCATCGAGTTCGGCTTGGAAGTATGTATACTTGTAGACCTCGCCACCAGTCAGCCGCGACACTTGTCCAATGGTCGCAATGTCAATGTAAGCATTGTTGAACACAAATAGATCCACGGAACAGCCCTGCTGTACGCATTCCTGTCCCAGCTGATTGTACACTGTAGTTTGGGGCGTCAGAACCGTCTTCTCCTTGTCCGTGCCAAGCAGTTTGCGATCATCGCGATTCTTGAGCTTGCCAGGTGCCTCCGCGATGGGCAGCGTTGAATTGAATACCAATAGCTTGCCAGAGGCATTCGATGCCTTGAGCGCTTCCAGACCGGCCTGTATGGCCGGATAGAGTATAGTTTCTGTTTCCTTGGTGTCGACAAACATGCGCGGTATTTCCTCCATTAACGCATCGATCACCGCGGCAGACTCCTCTGGATGACAGAGGAAACCATCAAGCAGCGGCATAAACATCTCCTGCACATCGCCCACAACCATCATCTGTGGTTGAGCTAAACTGCTTTTGATGTTGTAGAAGTGAACGGTGCTGTTATAAGTTATGAAGCCGACGCGCACCTTCGACTTATCCTGGCCCTGGTCAACCGGCAAATGTTTGAGTATGTTCTTTATTTGCGAGCAAAGCAGATGCACCAATCCGGACTTGATCGTATTGTACGATACATCTATGATGAATATAAACGCGGGCACCTCTGGCGCCGTATTGTTCTAAAAAAAAAAAGGAGTCCGATTTAGCGAAAGAATGGAAACAAATCAAATGGTGACACATACACGACAGTAATCCTTGGTGGCGAGAAATTCATAAGTGCCCAAGAGCAGTTCCGGTCGCTCATGCTTGTCCACACGCTGTCCAGTATGATCCAAGTGCTGATAGTAATCGGGATGCACTACAAAGAATAATTTAAAAATTCAATTCAAGCTTATGAGTTGATTCTTTAACGTTCACCTTCCGTTGTAACCTTGCACATAAGGCACTGGAAACGGCGGCCAGCGTCCACGAACTGCATGTTGGGCGACATATAAGCTTTGCAGCGGTTGCAACGTATTGGGCCCATGTCTCCAAAGTTCACAATGGGCGGTTCCATTTCACCTTTGCCAATGCGCGCTAGAGGCGAAATGTTGAGCGTTAGGGGTAGTGCCGTCGTCTTCAACAAATCACCCGTATTGGGTATGCAGTAAAGCGAGGAGCGTATAAAGCGCGGTGACGAGTTGCCTTGATCGTTCACCACAAACTTCGTGGTCACCAGCGGCGGCAATAGGCCCGGCTGGTTTGTTACAAAGATTCCGCCGGCTGCTTGCTGATTTTCAATCATCACCTGTATGGGATTGGGCATTTGGTCGGGATCAAGGCGACGCGGTGGCGCCTGCTGATACATACTTCCAGCTCCTGGCATGGGCGGTTGCTATAATAATTGATAATTGATAGTATATTAATATCTTTGCAACAAGATCTATTGCAGCAGATACTTACGTTATAGCCAGGACGGCCGGGTCCTGGTTGTCCAGGATAGCTGCCAGGCTGGGGAGGATAGCCAGGCATGGGCTGTTGTGGTTGCTGTCCAGCCTGGGGCGGATAGCCGGGCATTGGCTGAGGCGGATAACCAGGCATGGATGGCTGCTGCAACTGTTGCCCGGGCTGTGGCGGATAGCCAACTGGTTGCGGTGGAGCTGCGCCAAATTGTTGTGGCCCAGCCTGTTGTCCTGGTAATGGAGGTGCACCTGGATATGCACCCTGCACAGGACCCGGACCCGGAGCCGGCTGACCAGCATACGAGCCTTGAAAGTTGCCAGGTGGTGGCACTCCATAAGGATTACTGTTTTGACCACCAGCTGCAGGTGGTTGTGTCACCATGCCAGGCTGCGTGAATGCAGCTGCTGGAGCAACGCCAGCGGCTGGTCGCTGAGGTGGCATGCCAGGCTGCGTAAATGCGGCTGGAGCAGCAGGTCCAGGCGGCATCTGCGGTTGACCAGGTCGGCCATAGCCTCCCGCCTGTGATACAGGTGGCAGTGGCTGTCCAGGAGCTGTAGATGTTGGCGGCAACTGCTGGGTAGATGATTTTGGTGGCATGTGCGGCAAGCCTGCCAAGCTGGCGCTATTGAGTGTCATCTGGTTAACGCCGCCGGGTACGTTTTGCGGCATGGTACCAGGTGCCGATGTTTGTTGTGCCATGGTAGATGCCGCTGATGAGGGTGGATACATCGACGGCGCTGGCGACGGTGAGGGTCCTGCTGCAGCTGCAGAAACGGGCGGAGCCGGAGACGGGGACGGACCTGTCGAACCGTTTGCATAGGCTGCAGCGTAGGCATTGTTGTTGTTATTAAAATTCATGCCAGAACTTGCCGGGGGCATGGGCTGCGACGTTGGCGGTGCGTTCGAGTTAAATTGATTAAACGGGCCCGATGGTGCAGCTACAGGAGCTGAAACTGCAGCAGTGGGCATGCCAACCGGTGGTTGCGAGGGCTTTAAGGGATTACCACTCACACTCAGGCCACTCATCGACGTGGTCAACTTTCAAAAGGCAGCCAAAGAAAGACAACGAGAGAGACGGGGAGATATATGTAGATAGAGATAAAGAGTACTAAATTAACTACATGCTAAAGCAATTCAATTATGTGTGCGCTCTTATCAGACAGCTTCCCATATGAAATACTACTTGACCTCTTTACAGTGGCTGCGACAGAAGTAAATAAAGGAAACACTATCGCCATAGCACATAAATTGAACTTATTATTTGTGGCAGTACCGATAACACGACTTAGGAATTGAAGCTCAAGCTCACCTGCTGCTGATAGTTGCCGTTTACATAGGGTTGCTGAGCAGATGTCACTGGAGCACCATATTGTTGTTGTTGTTGTTGGGTTGGTGGCTGCTGTAGTGGCTGTTGATGTGGCTGCTGTTGTTGCGGCGGTGGCTGCGATTGCAATGGTTGCTGTTGCTGCTGTTGCTGTTGTTGTTGTGATGGCCAACCCGTCGGTCCCCGTGGAGGCCCCGCTGGATATTGTGGTTGAAATTGTGTCGACGGTGGACCATACATGTTTGGATTCATTTCTTTATATATTGGCCTGCGAGCAGCGACTCAATATGAGCACATAAAACCGTAGCAACAACTTTCACACACACAACACACTCTAATTGCAGCTCAAAGTTCGCGTTCTCGTTTTCACGAATTTGAACGATTTCAAACGTTGTTTCGCTGAAATTTGGGCCTAGATGTGTTGTCTTGCGTTTGTTGTGCAATTTTTTGCAGCTTTTGCTGGGAATGGGCGCTCAGGTAACGCAGTTTTTAACAAAACTTCCAAGCAAAAACGAACTTCCACGTCAGTTCGCTAATTCGATTTTTTTTTCTGCTACTTATTAGTTACATTTGACAGTTTGCCACGTAAAGTTGTCGCCTGTGCGACATATATCGATATTTTCACTGATGCACTAACGATGCTTTCGATATGTTGCACGATGTTTTGAAATATATACTGTAAATGTGTTAGAAAAATCACAAATTTTTAAATGAATAGTTATTATCCATTCAAACGAATTACACTATTATTTATTATGCCTTATGAATCTGTGCGCTGAATGTGCAACTGCAAAATATAATTTTAACTATTGCAGTTGCCGCAATGAAATTAGAATAGTTGTGTGCTGATATATCGATACCTAACTACCAAAAATACTGCAGCACAAATAATCATTGCCACTCTGTTATTTAGCTTACAGTTACATTTTAAATACCAGTAGAAATGTAAAATCGAGTTTTATTTATGACAATTAATTTCGTAGAGTATTTACATGGATTGAGTGAATCGACTCACTAAAGTATGGACGATTGGTCGGTTGATTGTTAGTTTTATATTGTTTTTTCTCGAAACGCACAGTTGACTGAACACCTTCAAAAAACCGAAGACCAGTATGTCGCTCAATCTCGGCAATGTCACAGAGATATTCTACCAATTCGTTGCTGGTGCATGTTGAACTAAGTTTATTATCTATTATGTAGCCCTCCATATAGGGAGTACACTCCGGCAGCTGAGGATCAATAATAAGCACCTTAAAATAGTGTGAAGGCATTGGCAACGGAATCCAATCAACAATTTGATATTCCAGACTCCAATCCTCGCCAGGCCGACAACAAGGCAAATACATAGGACCCGTGTAAACATACACTGAATGGTATTTCTCAGTCATTTGGGAAACATGTTCTTCCAGCTTCCGCCAAATCTCGCGCTTAAAAGCTTTGCAAACGCGTGTGGCCCCGCAGCTCAGCACATAGACATCATTGTAGCGGAGGTGCAGTGCATCGCCGTCTGCCTCGGTTGTTAGTTTCCTATAGTTGCCCTTCAAATGCTCACACATCCATTTGGGAGCATTGGTACTTAGGTCTTGCGAAACCACATAGTCTTTGTGCACATATAAATTCTCCGTGCTGGGCAGGCCATATTTGATCAGATCCAGCAAATCGGGCGATAGCGACTCTGGCCTCTTATCGAAGAAGATACTGTTAAACATATCAAATAGCGCGTATATCAGACGATCGCGTATTTTGCTTGTCAGACATTTGGAGCGATTCCACAATCTGTCCTCGTGATCTGTTCGAAAGGTGGACACCTAAACAGGGATATTATTCAGGTTGAGCTATATCAAAATATATTAAAAATATACCTACGAGTGGGTATAGTTTTCGGCGATGGTGAAACACGTATGGGTCAGTTTTGATCATCCAGAACAATTGGCGAATCGCACTTTCCTGCTGGAAATAGGCACCGAAAACGAATCCCGTTAAGCCCGCCAGCGCATAGAATGCACAGCTCTGTGCCCCAGGATCTACAAAGTGTGACATAATGGATTGCAACTAATCTATTTAGGTAACTATGTCTTTTAGTGCCACCTATTTACTATTAATTTTGTGTTGGCTTTTACAGATCTCAATAAACAAGTGACAAACGTTAATGATATCATAGCCTACTACTAATCTCTAAAAGACATATTATGTCTGATATATGAATAGTATGTTTCATAATAAAATAAGTTCAACTTTTTGAAATTTATTTGACTTTTCAGCTTCACACGAAATTTATGCAAAATCTCGAAAAACTTTCGATTCACTTGGATAGTTGCTGCCAAAAATTGCACTTCGGCGCATGCCCTGAAAGAAATGTAGGCCTGCAAAGTGCTCAATCTCCCGAATATCGCAGAGGAAATCGCGTAGGGTCGATTGATTCGGTATGGGCGCATTGGGGAGCACATACGCCTCCATATAGGGCTTACCCAAGGGCAGCCTCGACTCCACCATGATCACCTTGAAGAAGTGCGTGGGCACTGCCACCATGTTTTCGCCAATCATTTGGTACTCCACGGTCCATTTACGATTGCCCTGTGCCCGGGGCTTAAACAACGGACCGGTACACACATATACCGAACCGAAACTCTGTGCTAACTCCCTAACGTAGATCTCCAACTTGTTCCAGGCACCGCTATTGAAGCCCTGGCCTATTTGTGGCGCTATGTTGGTCAGCAAGAAGGTTTCGTTGCAGTGCACTTGTTGGCCCCGATGGTTGCCAGCGGCCGCCAGGTGACCACGATCGAAGCCCGAGTGCTTATAGTCGGCGAGCGTTGAACGAAAGTTCGAAGGCACACTCAGATCTGCACGATAGGTGGCGCTAGCGCGACCAACGCCCCGTGCACCCTGCAAATTGGCCAATTGCAAGTGCTCGCAGACCCAATGCGCCACGCGATTGCGGCGATCGTAGGACAGAACGAAGTCACTGTAGAGCCTCACATCATCCAGGCCCGGAAATCCATACTTCATAATACGCTGCACATGATTCGGCGTTCCATTCGGAACGTTGAAGAAACCGAACTGTGGATCAGCTCTTGCATACTATGATTAACTTTAACCACTCAATTGGACTGGCATACCGCGGCGAAGATCTTCGGACTGATATAGTAGGCGTAGACATCCTGTTGCACGAGCTGCTGCAGCTGCCGTGTTGCATGGGTGTGTTGAAAGTAAACGCCAGCCAAAAAGCAACCAACTGCAGAGGCCAATCCAAATGCCACGCCCAGCAAGTGCCAAAGGCGTCGCATGAATAATAAAAATAGAACAAACTGTAAATTTTGAACTGGATTGATTCTGGAGTATTTATACAGAGTTACCTGCGATTTCCCTCTACCCCAACCACGAAGGGAAACTATAATAATAACCAAACTAAAAAATAAATTTATAATAAATAAACAATTATATATAATAATAAAAATACTAGTTAATAAATAAGAAATTGAAATGAATAAATAAAAATAAAAATTAATAAAATATATGGGTTCAATAAATTATTATATTGCTGAAAAATAATTTTAGTCAACAGCTATTGGATTATTGGATCGTTGTTCCTCTAGAAAAATTTTATTTCCTCACTTTTTGTGAAATAAAAATAAAATAGAAAAGATAATTTTGTTTAAAATTATATTCACAAATCATTTTGCCTGTAATGTAGTGTGAAATAGTTAAATTGCTAGTTAAGTTACGGTTAATGAAGACATTGCTCTGCCCATTGCAACGTCTAGAGCAGGCGAAAATGAACTGCATTGAGATGCATTTGGCATGCGATGACTGCTTTGATTGACAGCTGGGCAGGACACAAGGACATGGCGTGGATGCATAATGCATAATGCGCCTGCACATGGGCGTAGCGCGACGGTCGATAATGGGGGATACGTATTGAATTGCCGACAAACAAATTAGAATAACTTTTTTTCTTTAATCTGTAATCCATATGCTGACTTATGATTCAGTTCAAACAGATTCACGACTGTGAACAACTTTAAGGGGTTCTCGCACCCCGCTCGCGTACGCCTCGCACATCACGAACAGGAGTGTCTGCATCGAAAATGCCATTAATGGCTCTGTGCGGGTGTACGCATAATTAAGCTCGTCAAATTTTGGCCGGCTTTGGACGCCGTGAATGTTGTCTTAAGCGACTCTAATTAGCCAATTGTTGTTGTTGGCGATGATTGGCCTAACGGATGATTGGCTTAACTCCTCGTTGCGCCTGATAACAACAGATTTGCTCTGCTACCCAGATTTGCATTATACACTTCAGCATTTACATGTATATCAGTTAAGTGCGGCTGTTCTTACTCTGTTGCAAATTTTTCATTCAATATTTTGGCAATTTCTTTTCCGCCTGCAGTGTGACTTTCCATACCCCTAGCCCACACCCATTGCCCCTGCCCTCTCGCAGCGCATGAAAAAATTGCAAACCAAATTTCATTTTTGTCCTTTGGAGCTGCAGATAAAACGGAATTCGCAGTACAAAGTGCAGCGGACGTAAAGCTCCCAGCCCCAGCACCAATTGAATCGAACCAAGAGAGATAGAGAGAGCGAATGAGTAAGGTGATTTCCAGTCGATTTAATGGCCAAACAGCGGTCACATCCCGCACAAAGGCAAACAAACGGCGTCTAGCTGTCACTTAATCGAAGCCATTAGCGTTATTAGTGCAAGAACTCCATAAACTGCCGCGTCTACTCCCAGGCCTGACTGGCGGCCAGGTAGAGGGCAAACAGCGTCTGTATATTGTGTATGTAATCCGATTGGGTTTCCAGTGGCCCCTCCACACCGAAGTGTTCGCTCAGCGCCCGTACGTAATCGACCAGCGAGATTTGTTGCTGCAGACAGGCGCGATAGGCCTCGTCGACAGCCTCCTTGCTGGCTGCGGTGCCGAAGGAGCGGGGCCAGTTCTCCAGCAGGGCGTCGATGTCCTTTCGGGGCTGTGCATCGTACATGGATTGCGTCATGTGGACCTGCTCCACCTCGGCAATCCACTTCTCAATGTCCTTGGCCGTCTTTGCGGTGGGCACCTGCGTCGCCGAGCGAGCGGCATGGCGGGAATTGCCGGCTCGACTGCCGCTCAGCACCGAGCGCAGCTTCATGTTCAGGAGGCTGGGCTCACTCTGTGCGCCGGATGGCTCGTCCAGCAGCACGAGGCCCAGGCGCTGCAGCTGCTCATCCAGTTCGCGCTGACGCGGCGCCTGGGGCTGCAGCAGAGCCGGCGCCTGCACCTTCAGCATGGCGTCCACATCGCCCACGGCGGGCACAAACTCCGGCACAAAGGGCTGCAGGTGGTAGGGCGTCTCGATCGTTTGCGGCGTATACTTGAGTATGTAGGGAAAGAGCTCCTTCAGTTCCGGTTGCAGCGGCAGCTGCTCCCACTTATCCGGCGTCAACTCAAACGTGGTCCCCTTCTCCCGCTCCAGCCCAGCGCTGGACCGCTGCTGTGTCTGCGGCTGTGGCAGCTTTTGTTGTTGCTTCAGCAATTTTACGCCTGTTGCCAGCTCTCCGGCTGCCTCATCCGAGCTACCAAAGCTCAGCTGGTCATCACCCATGGCCATTGGCTGCACGGCATGCACATTCCGTGTGCTGCCCGGCCGTGTCAGTGGCCGTGAACCGGACGCCGCCATGCCGCCCAACTGCAGCTCGCTATCGTCATCGTCGTCGTCGTCGTTATCGCTGTCATCGCCCTCGTCGTCGTGGTCAATGATGTCTTGCAGCAGGCCATCGTCGTCCGCGGAGCTGCCCTGCATTTGCTGTCAAATGTGTTTAGTATATTGTTAGTATATACTGCATCGGACATAGATATACCATATCTATATATATTTCTCTCTAATTATTCACCTACCATATTCCGCTGCCTGCCGCCCGCTCGACTTGCTGCTCCTCCGCTCGCCCGGCTCGACTGGCGCTCCATTGGCACCCTGCTCAGATGCTTGCCATCCGCCGACCCACTGATTGTGATCTCTTCGTCATAGTAATTCATTTTCTAATTCCTTCCCTTATTGAGGCTGTTCGCCTTGATGTGTTTTTAGAATTTACCTTGCTGCGAATTCGAATTTTGCGTACTTCCGCCGAATCGCAGATTCACTTGCTACCTTTTGCAGGTGTTATGCTTTTCTTTTGCTTTACCTGCGCAAAGGAAAACAATTGTCAATTGTTTTGGGCCCATCCGTTGCCTTGGCAACCAGCGCGTTGCTGTTGTCGCTGTTGTTGTTCTCTGGTGTCCCGGCTTACTTACATGTTTTCTGGCGAAACTCTCTTGCTATCCGTGCGGCTGTCCGGCGGAGGGAGCGATAGCCATTGCTGGTCGGATTTAATTACATTGAAAATGGAAATCTGATTTTGCAATACCCTTCCAGCACCTCATCGATTGTCGGCGACCATTGCGACTGTTGTATACATTGTGAATACCTGTCTAATTAAATGAATGAATTCTCAGGCGTACGTAGGCCTGGTTTTACGACGACTGTTCATTAATGAATCCCAGTTTGGGTTTTCTTAAAATGATTTTATGATCGAGCTGAGATTTGCATACGCTCAAACCAAAGGCTATTTTGTAACTGGCGTCTGTTCTAATGGCTCTAATGTCTGGTCGGACTTAGCGTCAGCGAAACCCTTTTCTAAATATGTGGATCACAATAATTAGTTTCGATATTCTTTTAAAGCTCTCCGAAATACGTCTTGTTCTTAGAATAGAGATTTAGTACACTTAGTTTAGTATACTTCAAAAGTCCAAATTATTAAGAGTATTTACGAATAAGTAAGAATTGATTTTGTTAAAATTAAAAATATATAAGAAACATGATTGAATGATTAAACAAATGTTTAAGGGAAAATAAAACACAAGAACAAACAAAAACAAAAACAAAAATAATAATAATAATAATAATAATAATAATAATAATAATAATAATAATAAT